TATATTTTCATTTTTACAATAAAGGTCTTATGCAGTATTTGTCCATATGAGACTGCATTAGTTTGCTAAGCATAATGTTCTCTAGCCTCTTCCAAGTTACATAGTATTTTCCAAAATCATTGTTCTTGAGTGTTGAATAATATTTCATTGTGTGAATTGTGGAACCTATACCTGGACCAGGAGGCTTGTGTGAACAGAGTAGGGGAGCACTGCACAGTTTAAAATTGAGAAGGGAGTCTACCAGGGTTGTATTCTTTCTCCATACTAATTCAATCTATCTGCTGAGCAAATAATATGAGAAGCTGCACTGTTTGAACAGTAGTGTGGTATCAGGATCGGAGGGAGACTCATCAATAACTTGTGTTATGCAGATGACACAACCTTGCTTGCTGCAAGTAAGGAGGACTTAAAGCAATTGTTGCAGAAGATCAAGGAATGCAGCCTTCAATGTGGATTACATCTCAATATCAAGAAAACAAAGATTCTTATCACTGGACTAGTAGGCAATGTCATGATGGATGAAGAAGAGATTGAAATTGTCAACAGCTTCTTCTTGCTTGGATCCACAATTAACACTCTTGGTATGAGCAGTCAGAAAATAAGGAGACACATTGCAATGGGAAAATCTGCAACTAGAGACCTTCCAAATTATTGAGAAGTAGTGATGTCAGTTTGGCCACTAAGGTGAATCTAATTACTAGCATGCGTCTGACAATAAATAAGGATGAGAGAAAAAGAATTGACCCGTTTGAGCTGTGGTGTCAGAGAAGAGTATTGAACATCCTATGGATGGCCAAGAGAATAAACAGTTATGTCTTGAAGAATGTTCAGCCAGAGTGCTCTTTGGAAGCAAGAATGATGAGGCTTTGCCTCATATACTTTGGACATGTTGCTAGGAGGTGTCCTTGGAAAAGGACATGATATTGGGACAGGTGGAGAGTTGGCAAAGAAGAGGAAGACCCTCAACTAGGTGGGTTGATATGGTGACTGCAGCAATGCACTTTTGTGTCAGGAAGTGTGAGGATGGTGCAAGGAAGAACACAATTCAGTTCTTTTGTTTATAAGATCTCTATGAGTCATGCCTGATTCAACGACACCTAAAAACAACCACCACCACTATTGTCTCTTTCTTCAATTCTGTTAACAGTTCTTTTATATATTTAGCAGATCAATGTTATGTCTTCTTGATCTATTGTGACTTTAATACTTATATCATGCCCTTACCTATCTTTTATGGTGTTTTTCATTCTGAAGTCTTAGAGATTCTTTTTTGTGGATGCCATTTGCTTGGTATATTTTTTTTCCCCAACCTTTGATTTTGAATTATCTTTCTCTTCATTTTTTAGATGCATCTCTTTTGAACAACATATTGGTGGGCTTTGTTCTTTTTTTTTATCCATTCTGCTACTCTTTTCCTCTTGATTGATGAATTTAGTCCACCCAAACTAAGTGTGATTATTGACAGGCCAGATTTTATCATTGCCATTTTGCTGTGTTTCTTTTTTTTGTTGTTTCTTGGTACTATGGTCCATCTACTTTCCTTTGATTTCTCTGTTTGAAGGACTTCTCTTAAAAGTTCTTGTAGACTTGGTCTTGTTTTCATAAATTCCTTCTTTTCTGCAGAAGGTGTTATTTCTCCTTCTTATTTGATGTAGAGTTTTGCTGGATACAGGATCCTCCGGTGGCAATTGTTTTCTTTCAAATTTTTGTATATAACATTCCATTGTCTTTTTGCTTATATGGTTTCTGGTGAAAAAATCAGAACTTAATCGACTTGCTTTTCCTTTGTAGGTGATGGCTCTGTTTTTCTTGTGCTGCTCCTAATATTCTAGCCTTCTCTTTTATTTTGGAGAATTTGACTGTGTTATGTCTCAATGTTTTCCTTTTTGGGTCTAGTCTATTTGGTGTTCACTGAGCTTCCTGAATGTGTATTTCCTCATTCTTTCTAATACCTGGGAAATTTTCTTCGAGTACCTCTTACACAATTTTCTAAGTGATTTCCCTATCCCTCCCATATTCTGTAATTCCAGTCATATGCATGCAATTCCTTTTGATATCATAACACATGATTCTAATGTTTTCTTCATATTTTTTTATGTTTCATCTCTAATTTTTCTTCTTGAATGTTTCTGTTAGTTCTCATCTTCCAGCTCACTGGCTCTCTGCTCCATCTCTTCTGTTCCACTTTTTTATTCTTCACACATGTTGGAACTTCTGCCATTTAAGTCTTAATATTCAGGGTTGCTTTGTAATGCGTCTTTGTTATTTCCAGTACTGTGTTAGCAGCACCTTTTCTATCTTGTGATGATTTTTTTTCTCATTAATTTAAATGAAAGTTTACAGAAACTTAGGGTTTCCAGTCATTCATTGTTGCAATTTTCTCCCTACCCCCCCAATTCACACTTCTCCTTGAAAAGAAAAAGAAAAACTCTCTCATTGTTATGTAATCCCTCCCCCCAAGTCCACTCCACTATGCAGCCTTCATTCTTGACTCCTGTCACGACAATAATATCCAATCATGGATCCCTTTTAAATAGTACTCTCCTTCATCTATTTCAAATCAAGAGACATCATTCCTCCCCTCCTTCTCTCTTCCCTCAACACCGAAGTCAGTCCCATTTTACAACAGTGGCCCTATGCAATATTTGTCCTTCTGTGATTGAGATATTTCACTCAGCATAATATCCTCCAAGATCATCCATTTTGCATAATATTTCATGAGTTCCTTGTTTTTCAATGCTGCATAGTGTTTCATTGTGTGAATATACCAGAGCTTCTCTATCTATTCATTTGTTGATGGGCACTTGGGTTGTTTCCAGCTCTTTGCTATTGTGAACAAAGCTGAAATAAACATGGGTGTGCATATATCTGCTTGGGTGGCAGTTATGGTTTCTTTCAGGTAAATTCCCAGTAATGGAATTGTGGGTCAAATGGTATCTCTATTTGCAACTTTTTGAGAAAGCACCACACCACTTATCACAACAGTTGAACCATTTTACACTCCCACCAACAGTGAATAAGGGTTCCATTTTCTCCACAATCTAGCCAGCATTTGATGTTTGCTGTTCTGTTAAATTTTGCTATTTTTATTGGGATGAGATGCTATTTCATAATTGTTTTATGATTTTTCAAGTTCTTTCACCTCTTTATCTATGGTTTCAATTCTTTCTTCCATTTTTTTGCATTTTTTTTCTGTAGTAGTGAAAGTTCCTTCTCATCAATGTATTTCTTCTGAGTTGGTGTCTATGGATAATTTCATTTCTTAGTGGTTTCAATTGTTTCTTCCATCATTTGTTCCTTCTTCCATAGCTGTTCAATTAACTCCTCTTCAGTATTTTTCTTTTCCTGGTTCTCTACTTCCAGGTTATTTCTTTTATTTTTGGCTTCTGTTGTTTCTTCCATCATGTGTATTTTCATTCATAGCTATTTGAATGTCTCCATATCAACATAAGTCATCTGTCTAGTTTGGTGTATTCATGATGTCAGGAATAGTCTCTGCTTTTTTTTGAGAAGGCTTACTTTGTTTTTTCACAGTGTTTAAAGCTGCTTGCTGCTTTCTTTTATTATTATTATTATTTATTAATTTTAATGAAAATGTATAGATTTTGGATTTACATTCATTCATTGTTGTACTTTTCTCCTTGCCCAACCCTCCCCCCAGTTTGCTCTTCTCTTTGAAAAATAAAAGAAAAATTCTTTCGTTGTTATACAATCCCTCCCCCCAAGTCCACTTCTCTCTGCAGCCTTTGTTCTGGACTCTTGTCATGACAATAATACCGAATCAGATATCCCTTTTAAACAGTTTTCTACCTCAATGCAGTATACATAATTTATCCCATCTTTCTCAGTCTCCCCCCCCAACCTTGATGCCATTCTCCTTTTACAACAGCTGCACTATGCAGTATTTGTCCTTTTGTCACTGAGATGTTTCACTCAGCATAATGTCCTTCAGGGTCACCCATTTTGAATAATATTTCAATGTGATTAGGTGTAATGCCATGACAGGAGTCCAGAATGAAGGCAGCAGAGTGGAGTGGACTTGGGGGGAGGGATTGTATAGCAATGAAAGAATTTTTCTTTTACTTTCCAAAGAGAAGAACAAACTGGGGGGAGGAGTGGTCAGGGAAAAAAGCGCAACAATGAATGAATGGAAATCCAAAGTCTCTGTAAATATTCATTAAAATTAATATTTAAAAAAAACCCAACCCCCGCAAACAAAAACCACACATTACTGATTATATTGCCTTCTTGTTTTGATATATCTCTAAGATAATACAAGTTTAAATCTTAAGACTCCTCCCAATGTAGTGCATGCTTTGCAGTTGCTTCATATAGAGTTACTGCTCATGATTTTATTTATTTTTTTTCCATACCTTGGATACATCAGCACTTTATGGTGTGCATGTGTGTGTGTGTGTGTGTGTGTGTGTGTGTAGGATGCTTTGTATTCTCTTTAATAGATCTAACTATTTTTACTTGACTTTTCTAGATTTAATATTAAAACTCAATCAGAATACCACACTCTGACTATGTTTGCCCTGTCTGTCCTCCGAATTCTTACAGCATGTGTAAGTCTACATGTTGATTTGATTTGCCTGTATATTTAGCTTTCTTCATTATTTCTCTGTCTCATCTCCCACCATGGGAGAAAGATGGGCTATAGACTCCCATGTTATTTACTACATATTAAAACCTGCTCAGTGGTCGGTTATGAGTCAGTTCTGACTTCACGATACATAACAGAAATGTTCTTTCCCTAAGGTGATTCTAATCTTCTAAGCTAAAGTTTTGTGCCTTTCAAATTAACTTCTTAAATCTGTAACATCTAACAAGGCTTACATGCCTAAGTATATTTTTAGTGTGTAATTTTGATATTGCAGAGGTGATTTTTCTGTAATGATAAAGAATGGCTTTACACATAGATTATGTGACCTTTTAATTGAGAAATTAATCAGCCATGTCATTTGATATTTTGCTTTTTATTGATATTTATATTTTAGGATCATATGCCCCTCCATCGAGCACCCCAGTGGAGCTATGCAGGAACGGTGGAACCTGGGAAAACGGCAGGTGTGTTTGTACAGATGAATGGAGAGGTCTGAGATGTACAATTGGTAAGTCACTCAAAATACTATCAGGGTGTGAGGTTTGGGTGACTCTTGTGACTGACAACAGAGCAAACTGTGGAAACTGTGGCTAACAATTACAGTAACAATAATCTTAATGGCAACAGCTTTAAAATATGTTTATAAATTTTTAAAATAAATTTTATTGGTTTATACTGAGTTATACTGATTTATAGTGAGTTATTGAACTTTTTTCCTGGGCTATAGTCCTGAGCATTCAGAATACCATGTCTGTCTCCCAATGTGAAGTTTCTCTGTAAATCCACATTTGAACGGTTTTTTTTCCCCTTTTGCCCCTAAATTCAGTATCTAAATGAGGATAATGTTGGAGTTTATTCCTTTAGGTTCTTTTAATTGATAATATACCTTATTAAACCCAAACTCGTTGTCTTTAAGTCAATTCTGATTCAAGGCACTTTTCTGTCAGATTTCCAAGGCTGTAAACCTTTATGGGAAGTGACTACTCTTCCTTCTTGTTCCCTTGGATAAATAAGACCCTTGACCTTGTGGTTAGTAGCATTACTTATAACACGATATACCATCAAGACTTTTTATACCATATTGCTGTTGTTGTTGATTGCCTTTTTGTTGAGTACGACTCATAGTGACCCTATGATAAAAGGCTTGAAGCATTTCTGTAACTATTGACATTTATCAAAGTTCATCAACTTTCATGAGGCATGCTGTTTAGAAAGTAGATGCTACTCTTGCTTTCAATAAATCATATTAACAAAATTCAATATCATAATTTTAAACATTTGAATGATCTGAAGTCAAGATTTGGCTTCTTATTAAGATAGATACTTGTCTGAGGCTAGATTCTCTAGAGAAGAAAAATCAATGAGGGGGAAAACTGTATATAGTCATGGTTTCTTCTATTACTTGCTATGTATTTGAAAGTCGGACAAAGAATAAGGATGACAGAAGAAGAATCTAAGACTTTAAGTTGTGGTGTTGGAGAAGAGTACTGAATATCTCATGGACTTCCCCCCAAAAGCAAACAAATATTTCTTGGAGAAAGTGCAACCAGGGTGATTCTTAGAGGCAAAGATACTAAAACTTTGTCTCACATACTTTGGACATGTTGTTAGGAGAGGTAATTCCTTGGAAAAAGACATCATGCTTGGAAAGGTGGAGAGTCAGTTAAAGAGAGGAGAACTGGCAGTAAGGTAGATTGACATAGTAACTGTAACAATGGGTTCAAGCATATTAACGATGATAAGGATGGCACATGTTAGGACAAAGTTTAGGACCATTGCCCATAGGAGTTGACGTGAAAGCAACTAACAAGTAGATAGATAGGTGGATGGATAAATTTAGCTGTCTCAAGGAAATGGTTCATATGAAGGGTGACAAGTCCTAAACGGGAAGGTCAGTCATCAGTTTAGATGCTTCTCCTGACTCATGTAACTGCTGATGAATTCAAGATCAGACAGCACGCAATTGACTTTGAGGGCTAATGACTCTAAGACTGGCAGACAAGGACAAAGAACTGGAGGTCAGATGATAACGAGCCAGATGTAGGATCCAGATCAAGCAAAAATGCAGGAGAGCTTGCCCAGATGTCTAAATATATTTGATGCAAGCCATATTCTTAAAGAATTTCCTTTGATGCTGCTTGGCTGTTCATAGCAAATCCGAAAATTATTAGACCAGTAGTTTGACTTTGATCGTTGTTGTCTTAGAATAAAAATTCAAAACTAATTTTTAATTTAAAATGTGCTTCCCTACACTCTGCATACCTTGTGCTTTCTACTTACATACAGAGCCCCAGGAGCCTAACTCCTATCATTTCTTGCACTTTTACTGGGGAGTCATAGGAACCCACTTAGGCCAATTGTTATTTGAACCACATCTTCATGATGCCCTTTGCCACTATAAAATCTTTAATCCTCAAGATCCCGACCAATCTGATACATTATCATTTGATGATATCCATACTCTTCTTCTATCCAATTATACATTATGCCTTATTTAGAAGACTCTAACTTGCTATCTAACCTACTGACCCATTGCCATTGAGTCAGGGCCTCCATAGTGTTTCTGAAGTTGTAGATTGTATGGGAAGACATTGCATTTTTTTTTTCATCAAGAGTCACCGATGGACTTGTGCCAATAGAGAGGTACACTCCTGGAGTCAGCAGCACAATTTCCTATAGACCAAGCCACCAGAGCTCCCTTCTAACCCCCTGTTGTTGTTATGTGTTGTTGAGTTGGAAGCGACTGATACCTGATCCTCCAGCAGGTTTTCAGAAACTGGAAATCAAATGGGGAGAGACTGCCCATCTTTCCCTCATGGAGTAACTGGTGAACTCGGACCACATGCCTCTGTGTTGGCAGTGCAATTCATTACTACAAGGACACCAGAGTTCCTTTTAATCTCCTCGTTAAAAGAGGTTAGAAGAAATTATGAAAATTGCATTAGAATATTGAGACGCCAAAAACAAAGAAAGGAGATGCTGAAGTAAATGAGCTGATTAGATGCACACCTAAATGCCCATCAACAAACAAATAGATAGAGAAACTGTGGTATATTCATACAATGGAATACTATGCTGCATTGAGAAACAAGGAACTCATGTAATACTATTAAAAATGGGTGACCCTGGAGGACATTATGCTGAGCAAAATATCTCAGTCACAAAGGGACAAATACTGCATAGTGCCACTGTTGTAAAACAGGACTGACCTCAGGATTGGTGGGAGACTGAGAAAGATGGGATAAATAATGTATACTGCATTGAAACAGATGAAGGAGAATACTATTTAAAAGGAATATGTGATTAGGTATTATTGTCATGACAGGAGTCTAGAGCGAAGGCTACATAGTGGAGTGGACCTGGGGGTGGGGGGAGGCATTATAAAACAATCGGGGGAGAAAAGTGCAACAATGAATGAATGGAAATCCAAAGTCTCTGTAAATTTTCAATAAAATTAATAGAAAAAGACCTGAATATAATTCAAAAGATATCCCAAGGAGACAAAACAAAATATAATGAAATGGACAAAAAGAGAATAGAAAAGGAAGAACTCACCCAGCCATTTCTCAAGCTACAAAATTGAAGAATAAATTTAAGTTTCTAGTTGCAAGAAAGATGCTATGGTCAAAATCTTGAACTAACTAGAAATCATCAAAAGAGATGTAAGGAATATACACAATCACTATACTGAAAAGAATTGGTTGACACTGAAAAATTTTAGGAAGTACCATATGAACAAAAGCCCATGATAACAAAAGAAGTTTAATCTATGTTGAAGACACTGGCACAGATAAAGCCACAGGAATACATGGGATACTGATTGACATGTTTTAGCTAACAGGCGCAACATTGGATATGCTAACCATACCAGGATTTTAAAGGACAATTCACTGACTGACTGACAGGAAGAGATCACTATTTGTTTCCATTACCAAGAATGGTAATCCAAACAATATGGAAATTACTGAACAATTTCTTTAATATCACATGAAAGCAAAATATTGCTGAAGATAATAAAAAAATAACTGGAACAAAACATTGACAGGGAACTGTCAGAAGTTCAAGCTGGGTTGCTATGAGTTGTACTTGACTCAATGGCACCTAACAGCAACAATCACAAGGGCTTTGGAAGAAGCTTTGGCACCAGAGATATCATTGCAATTGTCAAATGGATCCTGGCTAAAAGCAGAGAATATAAAAATAATGTCTATCTGTGTTTTATTAGCTATGCAAAGGCATTTGACGGTGTGGATCATATCAAACTATTGCTAACATTGAGAAGAATGGGAATCCCATAACACTTAATAGTGCTTTCGTGAAGTCTACACCTAGAACAAGAAGCTGTTGTATGACAGGAAGAAGGGAAACATTGTATGGTTTAACATTAGGGAAAATGTGTATTAGGGATATAGCTTATTTCCATACCTGTTCACTTTGTATGCTGAGCAAATAATTCATGAAATTGAACACTGTGAAGAAGAATGTGACATCAAGATTGGAGGAAGACATATCAATACCCTACGTAATGCTGATAAAACAACCTTGCTTACTGAAAGAGAGGAGGACCTGAATCTCTTGCTGCAGAGGATCAAAGACTGTAGCCTTCAATATGGATTACATCTCAACATCAAGGAAACAAAGGTCCTTACCAGTGGATCAATAGGCAACATCATGATAGATGGAGAAAAGATTTAAACTGCCAATAATTTAATGTTGCTTGGGTTCATAGTCAAAAGCCTTAGTACCAGCAATCAGGAGATCAGGACACCTTTTGCTTTGGGCAAGTCCACTGTCAAGGACTGCTCTAAAATAATGGAGAGCAATGGTGTCAGATGGGAGACCAAGTTGTGCCTGATTCAATCCATGGTCTTTTCAATTGCTTGCTATGCTTTTAGAGAGCTGGACAATGACTAAAGAAGAAGAACTGATGCCTTTGAGCTGTGGTTTTAGATAAGTGTACTGAATATCCTATGGACTGAACAAATAAAAGAAAGATATATCTTGGAAAAGGTACAATCAGATTTCTCCTTGGAGATAAGGATGTCAAAGTTTCATCTTTCATAATTTGGGCATGTTACCACGAGAGGCTGTTCACTGAAAAGGGATATCAAGCTTCACAAGGTTGAAGATCAGTGAAAGTGAGGAAGACTCCCAATGATGTGGATAGACACAGTGACTGCAGCCATGGGTTCAAGTGTACCACAGATTAGGAGGATGGCACTGGATAGGACCGGATTCAGCTCTGTTGTTCATAGGGACACTATGAGTCAGACTCAACTTGATGAGTTCTAACAACAAGGTACCAGAGCTCCTATGTAACCTATTGGTGCCTCTGTTATCAGTAATCATATCTAGATAAAAAGTATGGAAGTCCCTAGCAGGCCATTAGGCTTATATAAGTCTTATTATCACTAGATTAAATGCTATGGGTAGGCTCTGAATTTTAATTTTTGTCTGGATTCAAGTTGGGGGGAAATGTATATACTAATGGTGATTTTTTATAAAAAAACATTTCCATTGCAGTCAATTTCTGTGAAGAAGATCAAGTGAACAACTTCACATTTCAAAGAATTCCAGTAGGGAGATATGGACCTTCCAAAGAAACATGTGAAGAAAACACTGCAAATGGTATGTAATTTTGTCAAATATCTCTTTGTTGTTGTTATGTGCTGTTGAGTGTGACCCTATGTACAACAGCCCGAACCCTGCTCTATCCTGTGCCAACCTTACTGCCTCTGACAAATTTACCCTCATTATCCAGTCACTTAATCAATACATCTCATTGAGGGTCTTCCTCTCTTGCATTGTCTCTCCACCCTTCCAAGCATGACGTCCCTCTCCAAGGACTGGTTCCTCCTTGCAGCATGCCCAAAGTATGTCAGTCAAAGCTTCAGAATCCTTGCCTCCAAGGAGCAGCATGGACTTACCCTCTCTAGGACAAAACTGTTGTTCTCCTAGTGGTCCATGATATAGTCAATACTATTCTCCAGAACCACAGCTGAAAAGCATTACGTCTTTTATCATCCCTAGTCATTGTCCAGCTTTCTGACCCATAGTATGTAATTGCAAAGACCATGGCCTGGATCAGGCATACCTTAGTCTCCAGACTGACATCATTGCTCTTCAGTACTCTGGAGAGGTCTCTGACAGCAGGTTTTCACAATGCATTTCATCTTTTAATTTCCTGACTGCTGATACCAAGAATGTTTATTGTAGAGCCAAGCAAATCGAAGCTGTTAACAATCTCAGTCACTTCATTGTCAATCATCTCTCTTTAGGTGTAAGAATCTCTATAGCTGAGTTACACATATGGCCCTTCAATCAAAGTCCAAGTATCAAGGAAATTTTTATAAATAGCTTGGCTATTTTAATATTTCTGCTATCTAAAATTTAGGGCAACAACTTATGTAGTATTAACTTTAATCAGAAATGAATCCGTAGTTTGTATATACTTATAAATTAGTCAGTTGGATTTAAATTAGTCCATATTATAGGTTTATATTGTATCTACTGTCAGGCTTAATTTTTCCAACTAGAGATGCACAGACTAGTCTGTTAATATTAAACAATTTCTCTCCTAGGTCATTTTAGCTGTCTATCTTGGAAGAACTTTAGCTTCTTAACATCTTTATTTTTTTTAAAGAAAATTTTATTTTGTTATTTTAACGGACATTTACACAGAAGATAGATTTTTATTCATTCGTTGTTGCACATTTTACCCCTTCCCCTCCTTTTCCCTTCCCCCAGCTCACGTTTTTTAAAATGTTCATTCATTGTTGCATAATTACCTACCTCCCCCCAAGTCCTCTTTGCAAATATATAATCTTTCTTGACAACAAAGTTCCTTATGAAAACCTCAGCTTTACAAAGAGGCATTCCAAGACGAAGGTGATAGATAATTTTGCCTATTTCTAATGCGCTTTCTGATGATACACAGGTCTTTAGTGACTTGTTTGATTTCGGTGCTACAGTGGGCATTATTTCCTGAGATTGTTGTTGTTAGGTGTTGCCAAGTCACTTATGCATTTGAAAACATACAGACTCCTTTCTTGACAGAGTCCATCATGGCAACTTTTCCTGAATATTGTCCTTTGTTTATGATGACTTTCATTGATTTAATCCCTTACCTCTCATGTTTTCCCATAAATTATTTCCTGTTTTTCACAGAATTGCATGCTCAAAATGACAGAGCTAATTTTATATCCATTTATGGAAATGGTAAGATCACCTTGGAGATGCATTGCATTGTTTGTTTTAGCATTTGCTTTATGTCAAAGACTCTTTAAGAGACTAATTATACTCTATTCTTTTCTGTGTATTTCCTTACCTTCCATATTCTAAGGGGCTATGTAGACACACTTTCTAAGTATTTCTAATTCCTTCTTTACATAAAAGGGCCTGATAGTACAGTAGTTAAAATGGTAGGCTACTAACTAAAAAGTTGGTCATTTGAATCCACCAACCACTCAACAGGAGAAAAATGAGGCAGTCTGCTTCTGTAAAGATGTATAGTCTTGGAAGCCCTATGAGACAGTTTCCTTCTGTCTATAGGAGCTTCATAAGTTGGAATTGGCTTTACCATAGAGTTGATCTTCTAGTTTGATTCTTTACAGAGGTTCTTTCAGCCTCTTGACTGAAAGCTCAAAAAGTTAAAGGGAGACATCATCTGTGTTATAGTTCTTTCCTATAGTGTATCATGTGTCCATATGTAGTAATTTGTGTGTTGTGTAGCTCATAATAACTTACCAAATACCCAGTATACAAAAGTTACTCCATATTAACAAAAAGTTCATTCTGGGGAGTTCTGGTGGCCTAGTGGCAAGAAGCTGCACTGCAATCCCAGAGGCTCACAGTTCAAATCCACCAGATGCTCTGCCGAGGAAGGAGGGACAATCTCCTCTTGTACCAGTCAGATCTGATTTGATGGTACACACACATAAAAATAATAAAATAAAAATTTTTTAAAAGTTAATTCTGTACTGTAGAATCAGAATCAGCAAAAATGTATCAGTAGCATATTCATCAAGAGTGTCATATTTATTTGATACATACCAACCACTTTTGGTGATAGAATCAGATTTCATTTATTTGTTTACTTTCTAAACAATTACAGAAATATGTTTATTACATTTACTTTTTTAATTTAGCTTTCTTTAAGATAATTTTTAAAGTTTTTGCTGCTAAATGCTGTCGGGTCGTAGACGACTCATAGCGACCCTAGGAATGAAAGACCTGAACAATTGTATAACTTAGAGTTTCTGGAGGCAAGCTATTTCAGAAGTGGATGTTACTCCTGCCTCCAAGCTTGCTTTAATCAAGGAGTTCCACCAAATACTGTCCACGATGGGTAACCATTATCACATTTGACACATCATTGTCACAGTGATCATTCAGCATCACAGCATCCACGAGTTTCCTCTGTACAGCAAATGGATAGACCAGTTGTATACCACTTAGAAGAATGTTTGACCAAAAACAATTAAGACCAGGCTTGAGGGCCACAGATTAAAATCACCCATCCACCTTTGACTTGGTAGCATAACTTTCACATATCCAAATTATGGGGAAATTTTTCTTTAGTTTTATGTTACTGATTACTTTTAATTATTTAACTTTACAAACCAAAGTACAAAATACTTTGAAATGATTTTCAATAGATAGACTCATAGATAATATGTATTTGAAATAGGGCCTACATAAAAAGTATTTATATTCTGTGTCATGTTTAAGAGTCCTGGTGGCACAATATGCTCAGGGTTGGGCTGCTTCTTGAAAGGGTTCAAACCTACCAATGGCTTCTTGGGAGAAAGAGGAAGCAAATGGTTCTCATTGAAAGCGATGACTTTGGAAACAGAGTGGGACTGTCATCTTCTGTCCTTTACACTGATGTAAATTGAATTCAATTTGATGGCATTGAGTTTAGTTTGGAAACATATGTCTGAGGTTATTATGTCACAGATTACAAGCGGTGCCATCACATAAGTTAACATGACTCAAATCTTCTAAGCTAAACGTTTTAAGACTTGCTTTTCACTTTAGTGTTTCCAGTTGTGTTGCCTTAAGAAGCATCTGGTCCGAAGCTGGTCCTGAAGAAAGTTAGGGAAAAAAAACCCAAAAAACAGAGGAAACGTTTTAACAATATCCTAAGCATTAATTGTATGTAGACATTGTGGCAAGGAGGGCCAGGCAGTAATTCTAGCAATGATTCAACAAGCAACTAGTAAAATAAAATATTCACAAGGCAAGGGAGCTCTGGTGGCTTAATGGTAAAAGGAGTTACACTGCCAACACAAAGGCACATAGTTTGAATTCACTAGCTGCTTCAGTGGAGAAAGATAGATAACCTCCTGTGAGCTTTACTGCCTCTGAAAACCTGATGGAGAGTCAGCTGTGAGTACCTTTCAACTAAACAGTATCTAACATATGACAACATCTAAGAGGTAGTGAAATGTGGTGAAAGTCTTTACTTTTAGATATTACCCAAATTTTGATAAAGGATAAGAGATCAACATATGATTCACTGTCTAGCCTCTTCTCCTGTGGTCAAAATATAATTTATTGTCAAATTCAACTAAACTCACTGTCAAATAGTTGGAACAGACAATTTGCAGTGGGAATTGTTAATATTGCTTCTATCAGTATAGTTGTGCTTATCATGAGGAACATGTGAAATTATTCTCTATAAATTTGGAGAGAAGGCACACTTAAACGTGGTTGTACCTTTCTTATGGTCATGCATAGCATGTCGCACTGCTAACTGGAAGACAAGCTTCTCTGAAAATTTGCCTCCACCAGCAGCTCGTCAGAAGAAAGATGGACAATCTCCTTCATAAAGATTTGCAGGCTCAAAGATGTGAGGGACGGTTACTATGACTCGAAAGTGATACAGTGACAGTTGGTTGGCACCTTGTTTATTGGGTAATCTGATCCTGATTTACGGAACCATCCCAGACTTAGTGATTTAAAACAACAATTATTTAGAGGATTCATAATTCACCAGAAAGGCTCACCAAATGGTGTAAAATCACCTCGTTTACATGGAGAGGATGTTGGTACTGACTGTTGGCTAGAGTGTTTCCATGTGGCCTCTCATCTTGCAGTAATTTAAATCTGCTTCCTTACATGAAGACTTCAGGGCACTTGGCCCAGACGGTGAAGGCTGACATTTCAAAGCTTCTTAAGACCCGTTGTTGTTTACTGTCTAGTTGACCCCCACACAGGTTTTCAGAGGCAGCCTATCACGTGGAGGAGATTGCCCATCCTTCCCCTGAGAAACAGCAGGTGGATTTGAACTGTGTGCCTTTGGAATTTCAGCCTAGCTGCTTATCACTAGGTCATGAGAGCTCCACTTTAAGGCCAAGGCTGTGGAATACACACACACACACACACACACACACACACACACACACACACACACTCCTTTCTTCCATGTCCTGTTGGTTAAAGCAAGTCAATAGGCAAACCAAATTCAGGGATGGAGAAATAAAGTTGGTCCACACCTTCATGGAAGGAGCTGTGAAGCCCCATTGCAGAGGAGTTTGTGATTGTAAAGGAACTACTATTTGCTGTGACTTTCTTAGCAATTTTTTTAAACTCTTTATTAAAGCGGGAACTCCAAAAGCAAGCTGTCTGTGCACCCTTAATGAAAATGAAGAGCCAGTATTACAAAGTCTGCAAAAAGTAAACTGTAGTCAAGATTGGAAAGCTTTGGAAGAACAGGTATGTCTGCCATGTAACCCCTATAATGTGCAAATGCCAAAAGTTCAAACTCTGTGAAGTTTCTGTTTTCCAGACACCTTCTGATCAATTTAATACCTTTAAATATTTCATATTAGAAATAACACAAAAAGCTATATCCTAAGCCATTTTTGTTTTATTATGTTAATATCTGTTTGTGGAAAAGGATAAATTGGATAAAAGGAAAGGAAAAATAAGCCAACTTTTCTTTTGGCTTACTGACTTTATTTCTCTCGCTGATAACCCATAAAATATCAGAAATGGCCTTACCTTGGTAGACTAGACTAGATTCACCTTTGTAGTCTTAACTGAAAATGGATTCCTATTGTCTTATCTCCTTAGTGATGGTCTAACAGAAATATCACTTTAAAGTCATCCACCAAATAAAGTGTACGGCTTTATAAACAGCAATTTTATTTACTCATATTTTACAAGCCTGGAAGTCTAAATTCAGGGTATAGGTTTTCTCTCTGTCTGCTCTGTTGTGTCTGTCCATGTATCTGCCTCGGTGATCACAACGTTGTTATTAATCTTTATCCATTTGTGCTTCCTTGATTCTGTAGACACTTTTGAAAATGTCAAATGTGATTGCATTAAGACACATGCTGTGATAACAAGGTATTTCTTGTGGTCTTGTGAGTAGAGTTTGCTGCCAACCCAATGGTAGGCAGTTTGAATCCACCATAATAGAAAGATGGATAGTCTCTTCCCTTGCAACTTACAGGCTCTGAAAACTCACCAGACAATTGTTCTTGTGCTTTTCTATAACATAGTGTTATTAATAAAACAGAGAAATCCCTCTGCTCTAATAAAATGCCACCCACATGCATGTTATTGTTCTGTACACGACTATGGTAATTTTGACTCATAGCAACCCCAAGTGACAAAGTAGAATTGTCCAATAGTGTTTCCTGTTATCTTTATAGCAACAAATTACCAGACATTTTGTTTCCTCTTAAATTATAGATGAGGTTGGGGAGCATCTCCCAAGCATACAGGGTGCAGTGAAAGTTTGCATCTTCCGAAGTGAGACAAGCCATTTGCACAGCTTTAGTAGTTTTAAGTTGTGTGATTTTAGATGAGCTTTTCAGCCTCTCTGAGCCTTTCTTAGGATCAAAATAGCAGTAAACATACTCAATTCTTAATGTTTCACATTTCAAATGTGTTTATGCCTATCAAGCGTCTAGTACAGAGCAGGTGGCTGGCTAGTGAATGAGAGAGGGCTATGCTTAGTGATTGAATACTATTTCTGACTCTTCCCTAAGTTTGAATAGCCTGTGATGTTGGTGATTTTTAAAATAATACTGCCATCTAGTGACAACTGAGCCACACTCATGATGACATGCAACTCCTCTAAAGACAGTATAAATAAACATACTGTAACCTGATAAGACCAGGAAGCCAAATAGTATTTGAAAAGTTGTTCAGGTCAGTGCTTCCCAAACTATCTGTGCTGAAGAAAAATATTATAAACTTCCAATCCAACATAGAACAGTAATGTTCTAAAATATGATACAAATAAATTCTAGAAAAATAAAAAGAGAAAGTTTTATATATATATATACATATATATACACATATATATATATACACACATATATACATATATACACACATATACATATACATACATATATATTTATATATACATATATGTGATATATACAGATATGACATACATATACATATATACATATATACATATATATACAGATATATATGACAAATTCTGTTTTTAAAACATTGTATCCAATAGCACAAAATTCCTATGTAAAAGTGCTACAAAGGCCAAAATCACTAGTAAACTAGAGAAACTAGACTTCATCATAATAAAAAAAAGTCACATTTGTTCAACAAAGAATTTTAATCATGAAGTAAAAAGACAATCAAGATTGAGAAAAATTAGCAATCACATATTGGATGAGAGTTTAATAGTCAGAATATGTAAAGATTTTATATATAACTTAAGAACAAGAAGAAAATTAAAAAATGCACAAAGTACTTGAATATACATTTCATTGCAGAAGATAATGGCCAACAAACACAAGAAAAAATGCTCAACATCATTGCAGTTGTCAGGTACTGATAAGTCGGAACTGACTCATAGAGTCTCTGTGAGCAACAGATCTGAACTCCACGCTATCCTGAGCCGTCTTCAACAATCACTGCCATGTTCAAACCCATTGTTATAGTCACTGGGTCAATTTATCTCAATGAAAGTCTTCCTCTTTTTCAATGACACTCTTTACCTTTCCTAGCATGATGTCTTCTTCCAAGGACAGACCCTTCCTGATAACATGCTCAAAGCATCATTGTTGTTAAGGGCCATCGAATCAGAACCAGCTTATGGATGACTTTTAGGGGGTCCTCTCCTAAGAGATTTCTTATCCTTCTCCTTTGAAGCAACTGGTGGATTTGAACACCTGCTGTTAGGTCAGCAGTGTGACTCCTTACCACTAAGCCACCAGAGTGCCCTCAGAACATCATTAGCCATTTCCAAAATCTAAGTCACTGCCCCCAAGTAGGTTTTGACTGATAGTGACCTTGCAGGACAGGCTGGAGTTAACCCATTTAGATCCCAAAGTTTTAAGTCTTTCTAGTAACACATCTCTTTATTGTGTGCAGCAGCTGGTCCTTTTGAAATACTAACCTTTGTTTGGTACCTGAGTGTTTTAACTACCAAACCCCCAGAGCCTTGTCATTAGTTCTTCAGTGCCTCAAGTTGGCTCCAACTCTTACCCCTTCGTATAACAGAATAAAACCTTGCGCTGCCTTACACTATCCTCACAATTGTTGCTGTTCTTGAGATATGCAAATCAAACCCAAGTGAACCTCTGAGCACTTACTCTTAATTTCTGTTCTTGGCCTTCAATAAAAAAATGCTTAAGATAAAAATGAAAAAAGAAACCCAGAAAATAAAAAGTACTGGGTAGGATGTGGTGAAAATTGGAACCTTTTTAGCTGGAATTAAAATTGCTACAGCTGCTATGGAAAACAGTTTCACATTTATTTAAAAAGTTAAGTATACAATTACCATGTGATCCAGCAATTCTGCTCCTAGCTGTATAGTCAAGGACTCGAGTTGCCAAGTGGGTAGAGAGTTGCACTTTCAGCCCAAATCCAGAGGGTTTGAATCTACCAGTCATTCCTCAGGAGAAAGATGGGCAATCTCCTACATTTATGATTGATATCCTCTGAAAACTTGTTAGAAAGCCAGTTCTGAATTGGTTCAGACTCAGCAATAATTAGTTGAGTTGAGTTAAATACCCAAGAGACTTGAAAAGAGTAACATGGACAAATACTGATGTCCACTGAAGGACTATTCACAATAATCAAAAGGCAGGAGCAACATAAATGTCCATCAGTGGATGCATGGACAAAAATGATTATACACACACAAAGGGCCCCAACAAGATCAACTGACACAGTAACTGTAACAATTCTCTTGAATGTATTGGAGATCTTGAGGACGGGGCAGGACAGGACAAGGTTCCTATCTGTTGTTCTTAGAGGTCACTATGATTCGATGGCACCTAATAACAACAACAATAACACACCCCCCCATACGAATATACACAATGGAATATTACTCAGCTATAAAAAGAAATGAAGTCTCAACACATTCTAAACATGGAGGACCTTGGAAAATATTATACTGAGTACAATAAGCCAATTGAATTATTATATGATCTCACGTAAATGAAATATCTAGAGTATTTGTAGGTACCAAATTTTATTAGTCATTTCCAGAGTTGGAAAGGAGGAGGAAAGAGGGAGTTACTGTTCAGAAAGCACTGACTTTCTACTTATGGTGATGGAAAATCTACCAGTGGATACTGGTAGTGGTCGTACAACTTGGATGGTTGTGTTATGCATATTTTTATAACAATAACCAAAATTATCAATAATATTTTATGTATTTCTACTACAGGAGTGAAAAATGCCATATGAGTTTCTGAATATTTATGCTTAATTCTGTGCTTAATTCCTGGTGGATCCAGAGCAAAGAGGGCACTGATATTGGTCCATGCACCAAGCTCCTTGAATAAGGCTGCTCTAGCCAAGGCAGCTTATTATAGTTAAATATTCTTGCTAGATATAAAGGCTGTGAAAGTCTTAAGAAAAACTGAGTATGTTCAGGAGACTGAAGTGCATGCAAGTTCCAGCTTATTAATTTGCAGTTGTTTACAACGTGTTTAGACATAGAAAGGGAGATTTCTGGACTTTAAAAAAAATTACTATTGGCTTGTGTTTGTTTCAACAGATACAACGTTCCCCAGAGGAGTCACTGAACATTTCTCGAGATGCCCAGTTACTAACAACGAATGCTAGTATGTTAACTGTTGAAAACATCACATCTGCTACTACTGTGGTTGAATACATTTTCCGCACAAACACGAGTGAGGAGTCAGCTCAGGTAAAATTCAAGAGTTAAAAAGGAAGGTTACTTAAATTTGGTTTTGTTTGGTACTCTATCTCAGACATTCTCAAAAGGGTGCTTGTTCAAAAATTAAATGTTGGGAGACTAGCAATGAACATTATTGTGTTAAATCCTCAGTAATATTCTGGGAAAAACAAGTTTATTTTAATTTATTGGTAAACTTATAAATTTCATTTGACCTCGTCAGCGCTAAGCTGTGCTCTGAAGAAATTACTTTGGAATCAATCTGAAACTCTAAATAAGTTTTTACTTTTAGTTTGGTTTTGAGAAAACGTTAGGTTACATTTCAAAATAAACTACTAAAATTTGTTCCTGAAAATAAGGACACTTGCCAAAATTTACCAATCAATACTGGTTGGACATTGGTTAGGCATAACTGTAGGCTACCAGTATGGCCTGATCTGGTGTCTACCATTTGAATATTGACATGGGTTGGAAATATAAATTTCTTTCTTCCATTTCTATTAATTGTCTTATCTCAAGAACATTTTTATGTTAACCAGTTGTTGTTGTTGTTGTTATGTGCCATCGAGTCGTTTTCGACTCATAGCGAACCTATGCACAACAGCCCTAAACCCTGCTCTATCCTGCGCCAACCGCACTGCCTCTGACACACCCATCCCAATTACTCCAGTAACCGAATCAATCCATCTCATAGAGGGTCTTCCCCTCCTGCGCTGTCGCTCCACCCTCCCAAGCATGATGTCTCTCTCCAAGGACCCGTCCCTCCTTGCAACGTGTCCAAAGTATGTCAGACGAAGCCCCAGAATCCTTGCCTCCAAGGAGTAGCTTGGTTTAATCCTCTCCAAGATGAATCTGTTTGTTTTCCTGGCAGTCCATGGTACATTCAGTACTCTTCTCCAGCACCACAGCTCAAAAGCATCCACTCTCCTTCTGTCCTCCCTAGTCATTGTCCAACTCTCTGATGCATAACAAGCGATTGCAAATACAATGGCCTGTATCAGACGCACCTTAGTCTCCAGAGAGACACTGTTGTTGTTCCTGAGTACTTTAGAGAGGTCCCTAACAGCAGACTTTCCTATCGTGATATGCTTTTTGATTTCCTGACTGCTGGTGCCAAGAGTGTTGACTGTGGAGCCGAGCAAACTGAAGCTGTGAACAATCTCAATCTCTTCACCATCCATCCTGATGCTGCCAATTGGTCCAGTGGTGAGAATCTTTGTCTTCTTGACATTGAGCCTCAGTCTATACTGAAGGCTGCAGTCCTTGACCCTTCGCAGCAAGTGTATGAGGTCCTCCTCAGTTTCAGCAAGCAGGGTTGTGTCATCTGCATAACGCAGACTGTTAATAGATCTTCCACCAATCCTGATGCCACCATTCTCCTCATAGAGCCCAGCTTCTCGGATAATCTGCTCTGCATACATGTTGAAAAGATACGGAGACAGGATGCGTCCCTAGCATACACCCTTCCCAATTTTGAACCATGCAGTGTTGCCCTGCTCTGTTCTGACTACTGCCTCTTGGTCCAAGTATAGGTTTCGCATTAGCACAATTAAATGTTCTGGGATTCCTATTCTTCTCAGAGTCAGCCACAGTTTGTTATGATCCACACAGTCAAATGCCTTTGCATAATCAATGAAACACAGATAGACATTCTTCTGGTATTCTCTGCTTTCAGCCAAGACTAGGAAGAAGGATTGGCCACCCACTTCTGAAATAGCAGGCCTTTGAAAACCCTATGCACAACAGATGTTACCCAGTGGTAACATAAAACCTAGGACAAGGGGATTTGGTGACACTATATTTGGCCTCATCTTTAAAAAGGCTTTTGGGCCGTTAGGCCTGGTTTTTATGGATCTCTCAAATTAAATAAGCTGAGAAGTAGGAGTGGCGTCAACTTCCAGAAAAACATGTCTCCGGAAACTCTATGAACTTGGAGAAAAGACAAAAGTTTTGTGTTCTAGACTTTTGTTCATAGGATCTCTACGGGTCGTCTATGACTATGGCACTTAACAACAATAACATTAAGTAATAACATTAAGCTAGAACCTATCAACTTTTCCATGGGAGAAAATGACAGTGTGTTTATATAAAGATTTACAACCCTGGAAATCCAATGGGCATTTCTCTCCCACACTACAGGGCTGCTTTGAGATTGACTCAGAGGCTATGGCTTCAGGTATTTTTGCTCAATAGCATCACTAGAGGTGGTAACACCTGGTGTAGTAACTCATGGTTTGGATTTTCCCCACCCGTTGGATCTCCTCCCCTACCATACCACACAAAACATTTAGTAATATTTCTTAGACACTTAAATCACAGGATAATATTAATTATCCTAGTTGACCTAATGATTATTATAATTGGTAATAGTGTAAAGGTAATATTTTACTGTAGAAAGTTTATGAGGATCCAAGGGGGTGAGGGTGAGAGCAGAGGGGTGAGTATGGACAGCAGGGGGATGGTTAATCATAGGGTAGTACAATTTGATGGGGAGGGGAGGGTGGTTAAGGAAATGGGAAAGATCCAGTGTGAAAAACAATGTATACAAATGTTGTAAGTAAACCAGTATAAAAGAAAAATTTTACTTAAATTTTTAAAAAGATAATATTTTGTAGATGATGTGACTATTAACAACACAATTATTTTGCAGCTTTTTCTACACTGAATTACATTATTAGTAACTGATTAGAAGTCCTTTTAAATTTTTCTGTTTCCCTTAATCACTGCTTCATTCTGTAAAAAGCTAGATACAGAAGCAGAAACATGACTTACCACTTTACTGTACCTAAAACACTAGGAAATTAACAATGCCTAGAAAAGCAACAGTAGCAACCAAAATAATATGTGCATGTAGCACTTGGAGATAAAACAACATGATTTGAAGTGTTATTGTTAATTAGTGACATGGTAATAGAAGTTGAAGCATATTAGAAGGTTAAAAAAAGAAATCAGGATAAAGTTTTCGCCTTACAAGTATATTGATGCATATAAGATGGGCTTAAAAAATATCTATTATCACTAACTTCAGATATGTTTTTGTAAAAAAATAATACGTTGTTGCTGAAAGACTGCACCAAAATTTCATAGACAGTTCTGCTGTATTCCGTTCTGACAGTGTTACCTAGTGTGATCTGCATCCCCGTGTCCTTCTTAGTGAGACTACTGGAAACCAGCTGAGATTCCAAATCAATAGAATTTAATCTACTATTCTAAAGAGTAAGATATACATATCAACTAGCAATCTACAGAAAGACTATTAAGTAAAGACAGAATGGCAACAATATTCAAAAGAGGGCAGTTAAAGAGTGATAACAGTGAAGAGATTGCCTCTCTGGAAAACTCCTGATTTTTAATTGTAAGGAAAAAAAAATAACAGCCTACTAATTGTTATTAGCTGTACTATATCGTGATGCTAACTAGAAGGTCAGTAGTTCAAATTCACCAACCACTCTATGTATGGGAGTAAGATTCCTGTGAAGAGAATGTGGAAACTAATGGAACATTGTTAAGAATCAGAATTAACTTGAAAGCAGTGAGTAATGATTTTGCAATTTTAGCCTTTATATTCCTCTTATTTTCTATTTACACTTAATCCAAACATTTGCTTTTGTGCTCTCGGTAGTAAGAAAAAGTAATCTGTTAAAGACTTTGAAGTATACCACATTGCAACAGATGAGGGAGAGAACTGTTTAAAAGGGATATATGATTAGGTACTATTGTCATGACGGGAGTCCAGAACAAAGGCTGCACAGTGCAGTGGACTTGGGGGGAGGGATTACATAGCAATGAAAGAGTTTTTCTTTTACTTTTCAAGGAGAAAAGTGAATTGGGGGGGTGGGACAGGGTGGGCAGAGAATAGAGTGCAACAATGAATGACTGGAAATTCTGAGTCTCTGTAAACTTTCATGAAAATTAATTAAAAAAATTGGGGGGTGGGGAAAGACTTTGCTATAAAGTCAAACTAATGACCTGTTTCCTGAAGAACACTTCCATTCCCCTTTCACTCCCCATTTTGCCTTCTCTTGGCTCTCTCTGTCATTTTGTATACACCAAGAGCTAAGCATTCAATTTAGAAAAATACCCCTAGATCACCATACTAATATTGTTAATTGCTAAGATAATAACACCTGGTGATAGTGCTGATAATGATGTGATATATGATATGTATCTTCTATGATTATTTGTTTTCTCCTTGCCAGGCAAAAAAAAATGCTGTGACTACAGTGAGTCAGCTTCTAGAAGCCAGTGAAGAAGTTTTCCAGCAAGCCAATGTGACTAAATTTACTGAGTAAGCACAACTTCAATTTGGAAAAAAACCCTTACAAAATGCTGTTTATTTCCCTTTGTTAAAGGATTAATTGAGATATCTTTATTTCACCCATCAATGTGCTAACTAACTGATTTCTCTCTGGTATACAAATGAAAGTCATGGCTGTTCACCCTCTCTTCTAAGGGAGGCTCTGATGACCTAGTTCATAATTAGATGTATTGCTAACCCTAAGGTTGTACATCTCCAGTGGTTAAAATCTATCCTCAGCCCTTTGGGAGAAAGATGGATGGTATCTTCTTGTGATCTGTTGCTGTGAGGTGCCATTGAGTCAAGTATAACTCAGAGTGATGCTATGAACAACAGATCTGAACTTTGTTTTAGCCTGTGCCGTCTCACACTCTCTGACACACTTAAGCCTGCTGCTGCACTCACTGTGTCAATTCATCTCCTTGAGGGTCTTCCTTTCTTTCACTGACTCTCTACCTTTCCAAACATGAAATTGCTTTCCAAGTAATATGTGAGATGAAGCCTCACCATCCTTGCCTCTAAGGAGAACGATGGCTGCACTTTTCCCAAGACATAGCTGTTTGATGTTTCATTGGCAGTCCACAGGATATCCAGTGCACTTCTCCAACACCACAACTCAAAGGCATCAATTCTTCTTGTCATACCCATTCACTGTACAACTTTCAGATCCATAGCAAGTGACCAAAATAAAAAAATTGCCTCAATCAGGCACACCTTACTCCTCAAACTTGTATCATTGCTCCTCAGTAATTTGAATAAATCTCTGACATCAGAATTGCCCCATGCAATTCTCATCCAATTCTCCTGACTGCTGATCCCAAGAATGTTGATTGTTAATCACAGTAAGATTAAGTCATTGACAATTTCAACCTTTAATCCATCTATCATAATGTTACCAGTCCAGTGGTGAGGATTTTTGTCTTCTTGATGTTGTGATACAATCTATATTGAAGGCTATAGTCTGATCTTCTGCTGTACGTGTTTCAAGTTCTCACTTTCAGCAAGCAAGGTTGTGTCATTTGAATAGTACATGTTGTTGATGAGTATTCCTCAAATCCTGGTACCACATTCATCTTCAGAGAGTCAAGCTCACAAATTATTTGCTCAGCATACGGATTGAATAGATAAAGGATACAACCTTGATGTACACCTTTCCTGATTTTAAGCCATGCCATGTTCTCTTGTTCTATTCAGACAACATCTTCTTGGTATAGCTATAGGCTTCATGTGAGCACAATTAAGTGTTCTTGGATTCCCATTCTTCTTAATGTTAGCCATAGTCCATTATAATCCACACAGTCAAGTGCCTTTGCATAGTCAATAAAACACAGATATACATTCTTCTGGTATTCTCTGCTTTCAACCAAGATCTGTCTATTACTGATTATATCAGTAATTATATCCCTCGTGCCACAGCCTCTTCTAAACCCCCTGTAATTGTTGCTGTTGATACTTGTTGTTGAGTTGGGTATAACCCCTATGAACAGGCGACCTGAACTCTGCCCTAACCTGTGCCATCCTCAGCATCTCTGACACATGGGATCCATAACTGAACTCACTGTGTCAGTTCATCTTATTGAGACTCTTCCTCTCCTTTGCCAGATATCTTTCCAAGTATGATGTCCAGTTTCAAGGAATAACCTCACCTAGATACATGTCTAAGTTATTAAAGCTAGAGCTTCACCATTATTACATCCCCAAAAGCTTTAAGGCAAACTCTGTTTGTTCTTTTTGAAGTCCATAGAATAGTCAGTACTTGTCTCCAAATGCATCAACTCTGTCATCCTTATTCATTGCTAGCTCCCAGATGCATAGGAAGTGACTGAAAAGACTAGGGCTTGAATCAGGGACACCTTAGTCTTCAAACTCTCATCATTGCTTCTCATTACTACTGAGAAGTCTCTGGAAGCAGATCATCAATACATCTCCTGATTGCCTGACTGCTAGGATCAAGGATCTTGATTATTAATCCAAGCATGATTAAATCTTTGATAGCTTCAATATTTTCTCTGTCTATCATAATGTTTACCTGACTTTGTTGTGAGGACCTTTGTTTTCTTGATGTTGACATGTAATCCATACCAAAGGCTGTGGTCCTTGATCTTTTTCAGCAGGTATTTCATATCCTCTTCCCTTTCAGCAAAAATAAAGAGAAAGTTATGCCATTTGTGTAACTCAGATTGCTGATGCATCTTCCTCCAACCCTGATGCATGTAGTTCTTCATAGAATCTGGCTTTGTGAATTATTTACTCAGCATACTGATTGAATAGGTATGGAGAGAGGACAGAACCCAGTTGCACACCCTTCCTGATTTTAAGCCATGCAGTGTTTCTTTGCTCAGTTCAGACACCAGCTTCTTGGTCTAGGTATAGGTTTCATATAAGTACTATTAAGTGTTCTGGGATTACATTCTTTGTGATTACTCAGTGTGATTTGTCTCTTGTGATTTACAGCCTTGTCACCCAAAGGAGTGTTGCTGTAAGTCAAAGCTGAATTGATGGCAATGAATTTGAGTTTTGAACCAGTTATTACAATCTCTAAAAGAGGCAGAAAAGACTTGTATTTGAGTGCTAATCCAAAGGTGGGCAGTTGGAACCTCTTTAGCAGTAATTGGATGGAAGCCCTGGTGATCTGCTTGTTTAAGGATTAAGGTCAAGAAAACCCTGTAGAGCACTTCTTCCCTGTATACCATGTTGCAAACTAAGCTTGACAGCAGCTAATAACAACAACTTTAGTCACTAGATGGAATGGTTTTTCTGAACTCCTGGCCCCAGAAGTTACGTGAGACAGAAAGTGTCTAGAATACTTAAGAACTTGTTTTCCTAGTCCTAGTCTGACATGCCTTTGAGGTAGACCAGTGAAATCTTCCAACCCATTTCTCAATGTACAGAGAACAGCACAGTTTTGCAGAACACTTTGCCAACCCCTATGCACACCTCTCTTCCCAAGGTTCTGGCTTATTTTTATTTTTTTCTAACCCCAATTATTTTATTTTTTTAATTGAGATTTAATAAAAGTTTATAGAAAACTTGGATTTCCAATAATTCATTGTTGCACATTTTCCTCCCTGCCCACCCTTCCCCCAGTTCACTTATCTCTTTGAAAAGACAAAAAATTCTCTCACTGTTATACAATCTCTTCCCCACTCCCCACCCCCACCAGTCCACTGTTGCATGCAGCTCTTATTCTAGACTCTTGTCATGCAGATAATACCTGATCATTTATCCCCTTTAAACAGTTCTCTTGCTCATCTGTTTCAATGCAGTGTACATTTTGATTAACTTTCTTCCGTTTTCCCAAGGATATATTTAAAAGGAAATCTAAAACTCTTGTACTTTATTAATTGAGGTCCTTAACTGAGACTCATGGTGCATTGTATTTTAATAAGCTTACATATAGTTTTAGGAAGTTCTAGTGGCCTAGTGTATAAGAAATTGTGCTGTCAGTGAGAGCCACAGAGTTCCAATCCACCAGCTGCTCTAACAATGGACATTCTTCCTTTGTGTGGTTCATAGTCACTGAAAATCTACTGGAGGATCACCTATGAGTTTATTCCAACTTGACAACAATGAGTGAGTGAGTAAATGTTACAGTTTTTAAAAACATTCTAAAATGTAAGCAAATATGTATTTGTTGTTGTTGTTAAGTGCTATGGATTTGTAGACAACTCATAGCGACCCTATGAATGAAAGACCTGAACATTGTTACAACTTTCATCATTTCTCCAAGTTCATAGAGTTTCTGGAGGCAAACCATTTCAGAAGTGGATGCCATTCCTGCTTCCAAGCTTGTTTTAATTGAGGAGCTCCACCAAACACTGTCTACCATGGATAACCATTATCACATTTGACACATCAGTGTCACAGTGTTTAGCATCACAGCAACCACGAGTTACCTCTGTACAGCAATGCACTGACCAATGCTATACCACTGAGAAGAATTTTTTTGACCAAAAACAATTAAAACCATGCCTGAGGGTTGCAGAGTAAAATCACCCACCTTTGGCTTGGTAGCATAAATCTCTATCCATTAGGCCAACTGAGCTCTCTTGTTGTTAATGCCATCAAGTTGTAGACGACTCATAGCAACCCTATGAACCAAAGGTCTGAACATTTGTATAACTTTAAAAATGTAAATATTTACACGTTTAAATATACATTCTCATTATTTAAAAATAAAAACATATACAGATGAGAATAAAAATTTAGACTATCGTATAGTTTTGAAGCAATTGGTATTCATTCTTCCAGGCAATCCTCCCCTCCCCCCTTTTTAAAAAATATATACATAGCATTAATCTATAACTTGTTTTTACCATATAATACTTTGTAAATACCTTTTTAATATAAATGCACCTACATCTGCTTTATTATTTTGAGCTATTGAATCCTATGAGTAAGTTTTTATTTAAGCGGTTTCCTGTCGAGCACTTAATCTTGCTTCAAATGTTTTAGTAGTATAAGTAGTCTGCATCCTTGTATCTCCTTGCTTAGAGAAGTTTTCATCTATTTTTTCATTAGGAGAGACTGACAAGTAATTTCCTGGTTGTCTAATTAAAAACAAAAACATGAGAAAGCATTCAGAGTATAGTTCTGAGAGATCTCAGATCTGAGCAATAGTAGAGGTTGTGTAAGTGTGAACTGCGGTATTTTGTGACTTAAACTCTTTTTTAAAAAATTTTATTTTATTAATTTTAATGAACATTTACAGATATTTTGGATTTCCATTAATTCATTGTTGTACTTTTCTCCCTGCCCACCCCTCCACCCCCAGTTCACGCCTCTCTTTGAAAAGTAAAAGAAAAATTCTTCTTTTGATATAAAATCCCCCCGCAACACCTCCACTATGCAACCTTAATTCCGAACTCTTGTGATAACCATAAAACACTATCATATATCACTTTTAAACTGTTCTCTCTGTCATCTGTTTAAAATCAGTATAAATAATTTATCCAGTTTTTCTCAGTCTGACCCCAACCCCGATGTCAGTTCCATTCTACAACAGTGGCACCATGCAGTATTTGTCCTTTTGTGACAGAGATATTTCACTCTGCATAATGTCCTCCAGGCTCACACATTTTGAATAATATTGCATGAGTTCCTTGTTTTTCAATGCAGCATAGTATTTCATTGTGTGACTATACTGTAGCTTTTCTCTCCATTTGTTTGTTGGTGGGCACTTAGGTTGTTGCCAACTCTTTGCTATTGTGAACAAAGCTGCAATAAACATGGGTGTTCATATATCTGCCTGGATGGCAGTTATGATTTCTTTAGTGTATATTCCCAGTATTACAATGCCATTTGTTTCCAAGTATTCCAAACCATTTGTTTAAACCATTTGTTTAAAAGGCTATAGTTTTCCCACTTCTCCTTGTCAAAAATCAGTTGACCAGAGGTAGATGATTTGATTTCTGGGTTGTTAATTCTATTCCATTGATCAACACATTTGTCTCTGTACCACGCTGTCTTGACCACCATGGCTGTGTAGTAGGATTTGAAATTAGGGAGAGGGATGCCTCCTACATTGTTTCTCTTTTTCAGGAGTGCTTTACTTCTTCAGGGTCTCTTTCCATTCCAGATGAAATTGGAAATTGCCTTTTCAATCTTGTTAAAGAATGGCATTGGTATCTGTATTGGGATTATGTTGTACTTGGAGATTGATTGCCTTTGGTAGAATTGTCATATTCAAGATATTGAGTTTTCCTATCCATGAACATGGTATATTCTTCCATTTCTCCAGGTATCTTTTTGTTTCTTAATGTTTTGTAATTTTCTTTGTATAGGTCTTTTGTGTGTCTAGTTAATTTTGCTCCCAAGAACTTAATCTTGTGATTAGCTATTGTGATGAGTATTGTTTTTCTTAGCTCCTTTTCTCTATTCTCTTTGTCACTGTAGAGACATGCAACTAATTTTTGTATGTTGATCTTATATTCCTCTACTTTGCTGAATTGGTTGACTATGTCCAGTAGTTTTCTTGCTGAGTCTTTATGGTTTTCTAAATATACTGTCATCTCATCTGCATATATTGTTGTTCTTGTAGTTATGTGTCATCGAGTCACACTAGTTTTACCTCCTCTCTACCATTTTGGATACCTCTTATTTCATTATCTTGTCTTATTGCTCTCACTAAGACTTCTAATACAAGGATAAATAGTTTTTGTAAGTAAGCTGTGAAAAGGGAAATTGTGAGATTAGGTGGATAAAGTCACACACTACCTACCATGCAGATGAAAACCTGTAAGAAATGATGAATTTTTATTGGAGGCAAAGGCAATGCTGTGTGCTTTGTTTGTAATATCTGAATGACCTCAAAGGAGATGATTGGAAGGTGAATAAAAATTTCAAACATAGAACACATTAGAATATGAAATAGTATATAATTGTTATTTTCTGTCAAGTGTATCGTGACTTACCATAATCCTCTGTGGGCACACTGCTTGATAAAAGTTTTCCAAGTTAAGACTTTTTGGCAGCAGATTGCAGACCCGTCTTCTGAGGCACTTTTGATTTGGTTTGGACTGCGCACCTTTCTAAGACATGTAAAATTGATGTGGTAGTATCTGACATCCTCCTCTAACTTCACAAGGGGAATAGAAAATCACTATCAACAGGGTCAACCCAAGCCTTATTTCCAGGAGACGGAGGTCAAATATACCTCCCAGCTCCAACTGTTTACCAATTTTAACATGAGCTGATTCTTCTACAGCACTTTGCACTTCTTTATTGGATTAAAAAATTTATCACAATGGCCACAGAACTCACAGAAAATCCTCATGATTGTGGGGAAGAAAAGGTTACAGTTTGGAATCATGAGCAAGAAACTTCAATTTGGGATGAAGATTAGAAAACATGTAGGCAAAAGTCTCACTTCTTCAGTGTGGAACAGCTCTCCTCAGTTCCTCTCTCCTCTCAGTCTGTTCCCTGAGGACTGATGTTCCCTCTTGGCCGTCTACTTGTGGCCCTGCTTGGATAAGGCCTCTGCTCAATTCTGGCAAGTCACAGCGCTTTTCAGCTCTGCTAATAAATGCCCAGAGACAGCCTACTGCTGCAGAAAGGCCTTTACCTTCAGATGCTCAGCTCGCTTGTTCTGTGTCAGGAAGACTTGTTCCATCAAATGCGCATTGGCACCCACTCCACCTAGAAGTCTCAGATTTTCATAGTGTCCTTCTGGCTATCAACAACAGAGTAGGAGCTCAGCAAATCTTTTTAGTGACATGACTTCAAGACTCTGTTAGGTAATACCTTAAAAGCAACTCTATGTGTGATTGTTATTCATTAAGTGAAAAACATTGTTGTTGCCATGAATCAGTGCCCATTCATGATGCACTAAGTATAACAGAGTGAAAAGTTGTTCAGTTTGACTTGCCAAAAATTAAGGAAATAGTTTCATGAAAGGAACACATATAAAACAAGCCTTCTTCAATGCTTCAGTACCCAAGGCTATTGTAATTTCTTTAGAAAACAATTCCTGTTTTTTCTTTTCTTCTTTTTTATTTTACATGGAGAAGGAAAATACAATTTAGTGGAAGAAATAAGGATGGGAAATAAAGAACGATTGTACTTTAATAATTTAATTTAATATCATTTCTAGGAAAATTAGATTGAACCAGTTATTTTAAACACAGGAGTTTTGTTTTGCCCAAGGCATTAGAAGAGCACTGTTTTCTTACAGGTACAAGAGAAAGATAAGGTCTTAGGAACTTTCTTTGGGAAACGCTAAATTAACAGGTTCCCTCTTCTTTCTCACACCTTTAGTCAAGTATATCTTTAAATTTAGCCAAATGAGGAAAAAAAATTATGAAAACCTGCAGCGTTTAGCCAAACAGTGAACCAAAAGCTTTATTCCATTTGAAATGCCACCTCAGGAATAAAATCACAAAGGACTCTTGCATCAGTTTTCTAAGGTACTATAAGAAATCACCACCATGTGAATGATTTATAACAAGAAAAACTTACTCTTTCAGAGTTCTGGAGGCTGAAATCCAGTATCATGAAGTCAGGAAGGCTATCCTTTCTCTGAAGACTCTAAAGGAAGAGCCGGAGTCTTGAGCATTCCTTGGCTTGATGCATTATAATTCCATTCTCTGTCTTCTCACAGCGTCTCTGTGTGTCTATATCTGCTGCTTTTCTTAAATAAGGACACGAGTCATACTGGTTGAGGACCCATTCTCCTCCAATATTACTTCATTTCTGCATACCCTTTAGGGGGAACATGATTTTGCCATAAAAGAGATGCTTTACTCCAAAGGAAGTAATAGTGAAAATGGATTCTCACCACCAGAAGACCAAGTCTAAGTCCATGCTTGACTGAATGTAGGTTGTGACCTTATCTTTCTATATAAAGCCTTTTTCTGTTGGGAAACCTGTGACTCTTGAGTTCCAATTTGCTGGCATCTATCTATCTATCTATCTATCTATCTATCTATCTATCTATCTATCTATCTATCGTATCTATCTGTCTATCTCTTTATCTATCGGGAACTCTGCTGACCTAGAAGCAAGAAGCTGCGTTGCAATCCTGAAGGCACACTGTTTAAATTCATCAGCTGCTCCTCCCATGTGATTAACTGTTCCTGAAAACCCACCAGAGGGTCAGTTATGGATTGGTTCTGACTCAATGGTCCACAAAAACCCAACAACATATCCAAAATGGGAGATCTGATAGTGTAATGATAAGAAGCTGTAGTTCGAATCCACCAGCTGCTCTGCTGAAGAAGGATGGTCAATCTCCTCCTGTGTGATTCACTGACTCTGAAAACCCACTGGAGGGTCAGCTATGAGTCATTTCTGACCGAACACACACAGCAACATGTCCAAGATAACCTTCAATAGATTTCACCAGAACTTCCCAAAAAAAGTCTATATAACAGAGGATGAGTCTGGGAAAGAAAACCAATCAATGCTTGGTGATTGTGCCAGTGTTGGCATGACTTCATGAATTCTGTTGTTATCCCACTTTAATGGACTGTGAGAGAGAAAAACCTCTTCTATAGTTTTATAACAAAAATTTTAAAAATATTATGTTTATGCTTTGCAGACTTATTGAGCAAATAGAAAATTATTCCTTGACGTTGGAAGACAGCAAGGTAGTGCAACCTAACATAGCAGTACAATCTGTGAAAGTATCTGAAAACTCTCAAGACACACCCTCAAGTGTTCTCTTTTCAGTTTTAAAAGGTGAGTGGCTTGTGAGAAAAAGTGAATTTCACTACCAGCCATGATTAATGTGCCATTATGGAAATACAGACTTCTAAAATTCTACTTTCTTTTTCTCTTAGGATCTGGCAATTATCTAACTAATGACTCAACGACTGACAAGAACATCCAGATGCCAAACCCACAGGCTGAACTTCAAATCTTGCTCAGTACAAGCGGTAGGGCTCAAACTTGGCTAAGTGAAAAATGAACTAAATTAATAAAATTGATGACTTAAAATTCACAGAGAGAGAAGGAAAAAAACTTACTTAATTTCACACTAAAAAGCTTATTTTTTGTGTAGTTGGACTTCTTATATTTTTATTATCTCAACTTCTTTAATTTTTTTCTTTAAAATTTTATTATTTTGTGTGTGTGCACCGTCAAATCAGATCTGACTGGTACAGGAGGAGATTGCCCCCTTCTTCTCCAGCAGAGCATCTGGTGGATTTGAACTGCATACCTCTCGGCGTGTATCTCCACTTCTACATTTTTATTATCTCAGCTCTACTATACCCACTGCTGTGGAGTTGATTCCGACTCATGGTGATCCTACATTAGGCTTCCAAGGCGTGGAAGCCTTCCTCCCGTGGAGGAAGCTGGTACATTCAAGCTGCACATCTTCTAGTTAGCTGTCTCAGCTGTCCCATGCCACCAGCAACTTTACTAGCCTGCATCACAGAGATGATTGTTCTTTTTCTCTCCTCAAAAGTAGCACTGTGGAGGCTTGCAGAATTGAAATGCTTTGGTCATGGACACAAATATGTTTTCCTACAAAATCTTGCTAAAATAATTCTGCTTTTCACTTACACATAAAGAAAAAAAATTAACTCACAAACTTCGCTCACACTTATTAACGATGTGATACTCACAGGCATACACTGTGACTTTCCGTTGAGGTTCTTTATAAAACTGACATCAAACAAACAAACAACAACAACAAAAAAAAACTAAGCCCACTGCCATCAAGTTGCTTCAGATTGTGGTGAGCAGCAGAGAAGCCTTATCCCAAAGGGTGGCCAAAGCGAAAATCTTTACTGAAGCCGACTGCCTCACCCTTCTGCTGTGGAGCGGCTGATGAGTCTGAACTACCACTTTTTTTTTTTAACAACTGTGAAAGGCTTTAATCATTGTGCTACCAGAGCTCCTTTAGAATGGTTATATTGTTATGTGCCTCTGAGATGGAACTGACTCTTACTTGACCCTCCAGCTGGTTTTCAGAGGCAGTAAAACACATGAGAAGAAGCTCATCTTTCTCCTTTGAAGTAGCTGTTGGATTAGAATCAAGACCTTTGGGTTGGCAGTGCCACTCATTACCACTAAATCCATTGAGCCTAAATTTTTATTCTGAAATGTATTTGGTTAAGTCTGGAAAGTTTCCATGACCGTTTCCCTGTGTGCTTTAACATCTGTGTACACATATAGCACTTACAATTAAGTATTTAGAAGTGTTCAAAATCAAACTTGTATCTACAGATGGATGTGTACCCTCTCTTATAACCTCCCTTACCTCTTTAGCATACCTATCGACCTATGTGTCCACTTAGAAATTAGTTTACTAATACTTTTGTTGCAAGATTGTCTCTGATATAGTAAATTTTTAGGGGTTCTTTTTAAATATTAGTTTGGTTTGTTATAGTAATTTTTAAACTTGATTTCTATTCTTATATTCCTTTACCTTGGTATGTTGTGCTGACTTACCCCATATCGTCTGTTGCCTTTCCCTTCACCTTTAACTTCTGTCTTCTCTCATGTTAGCAATTTTTATTCCCTCTTTCTACTCCTGCTAACTAACCACTACATAATATTTTCTTTTTTTTAATTTTGTTTTAATAATAGTTGTCTTAAACAATATCTTTACTCTTATCACTGATTAATTTATTTCATGCAGTATGTTGTTGTTAGTGCCCCCAAGTTGAATATAACTCATAATGACCCTATTAATAGCAGACCTGAACACTGCCCTATCTCGTGCCATTCTCATCATCTGACACACCAGAACTCATTGTTGAAGTCATCATGTCAGTCTGTCTTATTGGGAGTCTTCCTCTCCTTCAGTGACCCTCCATCTTTCCAAGCATGATGTCCTTTTCCAAGGAAGAGCCTCACCTAGCTACATATCCAAAATATAAAAGACAAAGCTTTGCCATTCTTGCTTCCAAAGAGCACTCTTTTCCAAGACATTTGTGTTTGTTCTTTTGGTAGTCCATGGAACATTTAGTACTCTTCTCCAATACTAGAACTCAAAGACACCACTTTTTCTGACATTGCCAATCATTGTCCAGCTCTCTGATGTATATCAGGTGATTGAGAAAACTGTGTCAATTCTGAATCAGGCACACCTTCGTCTTTAGACTGAAATCATTGCTCTTCAGCATTCTGGGGAGGTCCCTTACAGCAGACTTTCCCAAAGCAATACATCTCCTGATTTTCTGACTGCTGATACCAAGGGTGTTGATTGTTGGTCCAAGAAAGATGAAATCCTTGATAGCTTCAATCCTTTAACCATCTGTTATAATGTTGACTGTTGGTCCTGTGGGGAGGACCTAGTTTTCTTGACTTTGTCATGTAAACATACCAAAGGCTCTTGTCCTTGATTTTCTGCAGCAAGCATTTCATATCCTTATCACTTTCAACAAGCAAAGTTGTGTCATCTGCTTAACACAGGTTGTTGATGAGTTTTCCCTCTAAACATTTTTCTTCAGAGTTTGGCTTTGCAAATTATTTGCTCAACATACAGATTGAATAGGTGCAGAGAAAAGATACAAGGAGGCCTGGACCAACCTTGCTGGGATCCAGAGGCCTGGGCCAGAGGTCTGAAGACATTAGTGGAGACAGCTGGGGTCCCTCAATGGGTTTTACATACCCGAGCAGAGGTCCACTGATATGGAGGAGGCCAAGCCAGGACCCAGAAGATGCTTTCTGGTCCTCGAGTCAGTGCTAAGAACCAGCTCTAAATATCCAGTTGTGCCTATTGTTATGCAGCACAGTGTCCTCTAAACTCATCCATTTCGTGAGATACTAAGGGGTTTTTTTGTTGTAGTTTTTCAAACTCAGAAGATATTTTTTTATTGTGATTAGACATTTTCAAAGCAAATTACTTTTCATCCAACCATTCATAAAAATTTTATTCTGTGACATTATTTTCAATATTTGTTATTGTTACGTGCCATCAAGTTGCCTGCGACTCATAGCAACCCTTTGTACAGCAGCTCTGAACCCTGACCTGTCCTTAGCCAGTCTCACTAATACAATATAATTGACCTTTTCTCACCTCCTCCCTGTAATTCTGATTTCCGTTAATCCTTCCATGCACCTTCTATGCACCTTCCCTTTTTTTAGTGATATTCTTCTGATCTTTCTGTTAATGTATATAGCATTTCTTGATACCCGTCTATTTGTGTCTACTATCTATTCACTAATTTCTATTCACCTCTCTATCCCTTCACATCCCTGTTAATCATCTCAGAATGATTCCGTGTGTAAATTTGCTTTAGGTTTTTATAATAGTGGTCTTATACAATATTTGTTCTTTTGTTATTGATTTACTTCACTCAACATATTATACTCTAGATTCATTCATGTTCTATAGTGTATTCTTAATTGCTTTTTAATGTTGTGTAGTTCTCCACTGTTTGAATGTAACATAGTTTCTTTATCCATTTACCATTGATGCATACTTGGGTTGTTTCCATCTCTTTGCTATTGTAAATGCTGCAATGATCAGGGATGTCCACATATATCTGTCCTTATTGAGGTTTTTATTTATTTAAGATATATCTGGATCCATGTCATTTCTATTATCAACTTTCTAAGGAAGCACTAACTATTTTCTGTAGGAGTTGCAACATTTTATCTTAGTCACAAAAGGACAAACACTGTAATGCCACTGTTGTAAAACCGGTCTGACATCGGAGCTGGGGGAACCTAAGAGGAGATAAATAATGTATACTGCATTGAAACAGATGAGGGAGAGAACTGTTAAGAAATATATAATTAGGTATTATTGTCATTAATTAATTAACTAATTGTCAGAATGAAAGCTACGTAGTGGAGTGGGCTGGGGGGTTGTATAACAGTGAAAGAATTTTTTTTTTAACTTTTCAAAGAGAAAAAGCAAACTGGGGAAGTGGATAGGGAGGAAATTGTACAACAATGAATGAATGGAAATCCAAAGTCTTGTAAAATTTCACTAAAATAAATAAAAAAAGAAGTTGCAACATTTTATATTCTCACCTGTCCTATCCCGGGCCTATCTCACTGTCTCTGAGACCCCTAGCCCCATTATACCAGTTATTGTTTCCATACGTCTCCTCTAGAGTCTTATTTTTCTTGCATTGTCTCTCAGTTCTTCCAAGCATAAAGTCCTTCTCCAAGGACTGGTCCCTCCTGGCAACATGCCCAAAGTACATGAGCTAGAGCTTCAAAATTTTTGCCTCCAAGAAGCAACTTGGTTTCACTCTCTCTAGGACAAACCTGGTAGTTCTCTTGGCAATCCATGGAATGTTCAGTACTCTTCTCCAACACCATAACTCAAGGACACAAATTCTTCTATCATCCTTAGTCATTGTCCAGCTCTCTGATGCATAGCAAGTGATTGTGAAGACCATGGCCTGGATTAGGTGCACTTTAGTGCTAAAATTGATATTGTTGCTCTTTAGCACTCTGGAGAGCTTCCTGACAGCAGATTTTCCTAATGCGATTAATCTTTTATTTTTTTTTAAATTTTACTATTAGTGTGTGTGTGTGTGTGTGTACAGTCAAATCAGATCTTACTGGTACAGGAGGAGATTGCCTCTTCTTCTCCAGCAGAGCATCTGGTGGATTTGAACTGTGCACCTCTGGCATTACAGTGAGCTTCTTGCCACTAGGCTACCAGAACTCCCTTAATCTTTTATTTTTTTTCCTCAGTGCTCTATCTGTAATTATAGTCTGCAAGGGATTACATATATAATGAATTAATGGATGATGTGGAGTTTTCATCCTCTCATACTGACTAAAAAGCACACAGGCATTCTCTAAGCACAAAGCTTATATTCATAAAGAATTTTTTTGCTCAAGACAAAACTTCAGTTAATAATCACAATGGAGATTTAGATATTTAATGCAACCTCTAGTCTAATATGCTGCCAATAAAATCTAAGCACTTTTATCACAAAACTAGGATTATATTCAGTGG